CTATGCTGATGAATTGATGAGCGACCCAGTTTCCGGCTTCGGCTCCAACATTTATTTCCCCGCACTACCAACAATTGCTCATGACCTGGATGTATCGGTTGAGCTCATCAATCTCACCATTACCTCCTATCTGGTGTTCCAGGGCATTGCCCCGAGTTTCTGGGGTCCGTTATCGGACGCGAAAGGCCGTCGGGTAACATATGCCTGTACCTTTTTAGTATTTCTGGGTGCTTGCATAGGACTCGCAGAGACGAGAAATTATGCTACTCTCATCGTTCTGCGGAGCCTTCAGAGTTCCGGGAGTGCCAGCACTATTGCTGTTGGCTCGGCCGTCATCGGAGATATAACTACCCGCGAAGAGCGCGGCGGTTTCATGGGCATATTCCAGGCCGGTCTCCTCTCACCAGTGGCAATAGGTCCAGTCATCGGTGGAGCCCTGGCGGCTGCCATGGGATGGCGAGCCGTTTTCTGGTTTCTAGCCATATACTGCGGTGTGTTTCTCGTCGTGCTGATCGTTGCTTTACCGGAAACTCTCCCGTCGATCGTGAGGAATGGGAGTGTAATACCATCGAGCCTGGTCGCCAGATACCCCTTGCGCTTCTATCAGAAACTCACCAAGGTGAAGTTCAATATACAAGAGCAGCCCCCTCAGACTGCGAGAAAGACCAGGATCGACATTGCCGGGCCAATTCGAATACTTTTTAGTAAGCAGTCCGTGTCAATTACTATCTTCGCGGCTGTATACTATGCTGTTTGGCAAATGAGCATCACGGCCGTCTCTGTTCTCTTCCAAGAACGGTACAACCTAGACGTGACCCAGATCGGTTTAAGCTTCATCGCAAATGGCGCAGGGTCCATTATAGGCACTCTGATCACTGGCAGATTATTGGACATTGACTACGTGCGTGTCAAGGCCAAGCACGAATCCGCATTAGCTCAGCGCGTGTCACAGCCAGGCAGTGAAAGCTCACAACAAACTAGATTGGATAATGTCGACTTTCCTCTTGAGAAAGCACGCCTCCGCCTTCTTCCCTTGCTCGCATTGCTCCAGTGTGCTTCGGTTATCACCTTTGGTTGGACTATCGACTTCCGCGTTCACATCGCCGTCCCGATCGTGACCACGTTTGTCACAGGCTGGACGTCAATCTCGATGGTCTCGGCAACAACAACATATCTAATAGACGTATTCCCCGAGCACAGGGCCGCGTCAACTGCAAGTTTGAATCTAGCGAGATGTTTGCTCGCAGCCGCGGCTACCAGTATCGTCACACCGATAGTCGGAGCGGTTGGCATAGGATGGACGTTTACAATCACCACTGTAGTCCAACTTATCGCCTTGGTAGGTCTTGGAATACAATGGCGATTTGGCGGCAAGTGGAGGGTAGAGGCCGAAAAGGCCCAAATGCAAGCGCATTAATGCAAAGGTTCAGATAGACGGCACTTATGAGGAGAAGAATGGTGAGCTTTCATTCAAACTGGTTTCGATATTTTATACCCGGGAAATTTTTTTGGTATCGCTGTACGGCAACGTTTATACCGGGACAGATTTACGAAATAATGTAGACGCAAGTGAGCATGCTAGGTTTAGAGGCACTAGATAGATTATACAATGCTATATAGAATAGAGATGATGCATCAGAATTCGAATCAAACAAAGATTTTAGAAGCTCTCATGATACAAGGCCAACTTTTTGACTGGTGCGGACGACGATAGAATCAAATCGCAATGTCGCCACAATCAACAATCAAGTTCAGTCGCCCCTGTTCCCTAATGCTGCCTTTGAAACAATTCAATTGATTATCATCGAGCCTGACCAGTTCACAGAGTCTACGTCAAGACTGTCTCTGCAACTGCGGCATAAACTGAGCGTGAGCTAGCTAATGCAGGTAGAACGCGAAGAAAGGCCCAGACGCCAGATACACTGCAGCTGTGAGGGGGTTCTTCCCAGAGTGAGAGAGAGGCTAGTAGGAGCGAGGTCACAGCGAGAGCGTGGTAGTATAGGGTAGAAGTCAATGGTCATTGAATCCTGAACCTCCCCTTCTACGAGGTGGTGGTTCAGTCTACTTATAGGCATCCGTGTACTAGCTAGTCCCCTAGTGCCTCGCCGAGGCCCACCTGCTGGTCTCCTTGTCCCTATGAGTGCTACGTCCGTGGATGTCCCTGACAGCAGCCTAGAAAACAAGTTCTCGAATCAGAAGATAAGTGAGACTTGGTAGCTACTACTAGCGGGTAGACTACGTGTGTAAGCATTACACGATGATCATAACCCTGACTCCTGAGGAAATTCCTGACCAGCCTAAACCCCTGATAATTCCTGACCAACCTAAACTCCCGAGCACATCCGACACAAATCACAAATCAGGTCCTACAGACTGCAGGCAATACTATCCCTCACCTCAACGAGAGGCTCAGTAGAGAGAACACACAAAAAAACGAAGGCAACATCTCGTTCGCGTGATTCCGTGACCCAATGAACCGTACAAAGGGGAGGCGTCAGAGCAGCTTTCTACAAAAAGCTCGACTTCTTCGGTCTGAGATCAGGCTTAAGGACGCCGTCCTTATCATAGTACCAGCCCTGGGGCGCAATGGGCATGGGTTTTTCGGGGGTCGGGGCCCTTTCAATCTTGTTGCCGTACTCGTCCCGTTCGTAATTGCGGATCTCCGCCGCTGTGAGGAAGCCTCCTCGCTTGCGATGACGCTCGGGCTTCTGGCGCGGTTGGGATTGTCGGTATTTGTCACCGGCGCACCAGAGACGCTCTCGGTTTGCGATGCTGTGGCTCTCGTAGATCTTTTTCACGGCGAGATCACCCGATTGCGGGTCCGCTGCAAATTGTTGCCAGGTTGAGACCTTGGGTCTCGGGGTGTCAGGCTGCTTTGGTTCCTGCGGGCCAAGGTCGTTCGACGCTTGCTTGGCGGTTGGGGCCGGCGGGGTGTACGCAGTCTGCTCTTTCTGTGGTGCGAAGTAGGTAGATTGTTGGGGTTTGGCACAAGAAGTGTCCCCGCGGTCGATATCCTGCTGGTGATCGGTATTGCGGTCCATCGTTTGGTTCTCAATGGCGGCCTTGAAAGCAGACTCAGGAAGATTGTCTGGCATGTCGATGTTGGCATGCTCATCATTCCATCGGTTGATATTTTCAGGGTGGCTATAGTGATGAGATGGTGGTTTGCTACCATTGGGATTGCGCTTGACGCGCTCATGCGGAAGTCTGGCGGATCCCTCTTTCGGCTTGATAATTATTTCAACAGAATTATCAGCGTCCTCATCCGGAAAATCCTTACGGGTATCCGCAAACTCCTTGTGCAGTTCCTTGAGATTGTCGTCAGCACCGCTTTCCTTAGAAAAGGATTGGATTTCACCAACGACGTGTGCAATATGAGTTGAAGCAGCCGAAAGGTTCTCTTGGCCAGAACCTGGGACACGGTTGGCCGGGGCCTTGACAGGTTCTTCGCCGTTACCAGATTCCTGCTTAGTATCCCAATCTTCCAGCTGCTTGATAGCTGTGCGAGAGAAGAGGTCAGTGCCTTAAACAGTAAATTATTTCATCGAAACGCCTTATGAAAGCATTCCAACTGTTCGGATTACTGGCAATAAGGAGAATGGGAGGGATACGTACTGCGTTTGAGGACAGACTTCTGCTCATCATCCAAGACCGTATTCTTGGAAATGAAAAAGGTGAGCTGTCAAGACTGCTTAGTTATGCTCTTGGGCGTACGACGAGCGGGGGGCAAAGGGTAACATATACAGTTTTAAACAGCTCCTTTACCAACTTCTTTTGATCAGTGTCAATGGTGACAACAGAAAGGCATTGAGCAAAGGGTTGCTTGAAATCTTCCTTCAAGGGAACAGAGTCAAGAAGGATCTTAATGACCGCTTTCTGAAACGGCATATCTGGCTCCCATTTGCCTTTGTCGGCGTGATTGGCCATGGTTGCAAAGGGGGATCAAGAATCGTAGATATGGAAAACCAACAGATAGAATTCAAATTCCCGTTTAGAGGAACAACAAACTGAAGTACGGTCGAAGATTATAATTGAGTTGGATTGCAGAATATGTAGGCTCGCAAGGGATGAGGAGAAGAGGTTGAAGTTCAGACGAGAGTTGTTAGGAAGAGGAGAGTGGAAAACAGAAAGAAGCAGGATGAAGGAAGGATGCAACAAGGTAATGGTATACGCATTTGTTCACGATGACACGCCACGCTCTCAAAGTACGCCAAGTACCAGGCAGGTACTGATGCTCACGATTGAGATGCGTTTGTAGTGTTAGATACAGAAGAATACCTGTAGTATGTACATGTAGCTGATCCGCTTTTAAGCCGCAGAGAATCTGTCAGTGCGATTATGTCGTCGCCTAATTATTCAGTCAGCTGCTTAGCATGCGAGAACGCATGTAATAAATGGAACAGTGATTGGATGATCCAGGCAGGGCTGAGGTTGGGTTTTGGTGATGGTGGTGTTAGAATATAACCTGAACATCTCTTGAGTCTCTACAGACGCGCATTCGATCAATCACAATGGAGTTAGTTAAAACCCAAAAGCTCTTTTGAGCCTGTCTATGAACGTTACAACAAGAGTCCCTGTTCTTGGGGAAGTCAGGGCTCTGCAGAAGTACAGCTGTGTTGATATTATTTAGGATTCCCTCCTTGATCTAGTTCGTAGGCGCATATTCTCGAATCATGCCCAGAGTTTGATTCATAGTCTAGTGATTTGAGAGTTGCTACTATGCGACATTGCTGTTTTCTTGTCTATCAGAGTCTTAACACATTGCTGGGTTAACTGGGATCAACTCCTTATTCACTCAGCAACCCCTAATATCTCAACCAATTTCTTTTCTAAAGTACCTAAATACATAGTGACTCTGTTTTTCCAATACTTTGTCGCGAACATCACCCAGACTAAGATTTGCGAGACCGAATTGGTCTTCTCACACTTGTTGCCTACTAGACCATATCGAAAAGTAGCTCCTCTCAGCAGCATCAATTAGTAAGCCAGCTGATTGGTAGGTTTTCGTGGCCTAGTGGTTAGGGCGTCTGTCTTACAAACTGGATCTCGCCGTCTATGATGTGTGGGTTTTCCAATGGATCACAGAAGATCCCCGGTTCAATCCCGGGCGGAAACATTTTTGGAGTACGAAACGATGCGCCCATATACCACCCATCCGCTTACGAAATATCTGCCACTCGATTGAGTGTCTCATAGGTACGAAGTCGTGTAGAGAGAGAGATAAGACCTGAATCACTTTTTAACCTCTCGTTTACCAAGTAAGCAAATACGGGATAGGGGTACTGGAATACCTTCGATTAGGTAAATCTTGAACGACGCCAGAACCTAGGTGTGTATCTAGATATACGTAATTACGGTATCACGGGGCATGAATCAACGGAGCACATAATCAACAACACCCAGCTGAATTTCGTGGATTTACACGTAAATCGTTCAACGGGGATGAAGAATATGAAGAACTTTTACGCAGTAAGTTTCTTGATTGCACAAACTCTGCGCAACAGCTTGGAGGAAGAACAAGAGCAAAACCTTCAATATAACAATTACTTCTACATACAAAATTGCATAAGTTGTGCCTTTACCTACAAAATACAACATCGATATAACGATTTGATGCTGGATCCGTAGCTCCGTAAGTACGGATCCCCATGACAGCAAAGCAGATCTACCTACGTCCGTACACACCTAGGTTAGGTACCCAGGTACTTCACACGCCGTCAAGCCCGCATCACTCACCCACCGAAGATCCACAGTCTCCCGCACTCTACAGTAGATGCGGATCAAGTACGGATCCGTAATAGGCAATGTTACCCTTACAAATCGAGTTTAGCTGCCGTTGTCATGGGACGATGCCTTTCGTACGTACCGACAGGTATTCCGTAAGATACATAGTATCATGGCAGCTCCGATTGAGTCAACTTGCACAACAGCTCACGAAGGGATGCTTGTGTGTGGGTGTAGTATCCGTGAGACTGGCCGCGTAATTGCGCCTTCACTCTCACATTGAAGGGAATTGCTGCTCAGGCATGAATGTTTTCAACCCGGGCATGAGTCTTACCACAGTCAGTTAGTTAGCCAGGCATGGCATATGGTTTCCATGCCTGAAATGAGTCCTAGTCTACCTACTTGGAGGATTAAGTCCACCAGAAGGCTTAATTCAGGGAAAATTATATGGAATACCTAGCCTAGTGTAAAGATAACCCAGCCACCCTGATTGCTGTCCTTGGCACCTGTTTATTGTCCTGTTTCCTTTCACTATGGGACAAGTTGCTTAAGGTCCAGGCTCACCTTTATCAGCAGGTTAGGGAGGCTTCAAAGTGGAAGCATAGTCCAGACTCCAGACAGAGAAGATGCCTAGGACCTAGATAATGTGCACACTTCACCTAGATGAGCTGCGTTGGTGAGTTGTAGGTACGTACGGATCTACTGGCAAAATTTACGGCCCGGCTTACTAAGTGTGGCAAGACTCGTGTATAAAACCTTAGGTGCCTAGGTAGGTAGGTAGGTAGACAACTCTCATGCCCGGATAGCAATTTCCGATACTAAAACCCCTCAGGATCGCCTGGACATTTCATTGACAGACACTCATAGAATCTATCACCATAATTCAAGCTTCATAAACAGACATGGCCAAAGTCCACGGAAAGTGCACGCCACAATTTGAGAAAGTTCGTGCTCTCTTCGAAAAGTTCGTTGATTCAGGCGATGAATTCGGCGCTTCCATAGCCGTCAATGTCAACGGTGAGGACGTCGTCAATCTTTGGGGCGGCTATGCGAATGCCGACACCAAAGAACCCTGGGTCGAGAACACCATTGTTGTGATGGCCTCGTCCTCGAAATGTGTCTCCAGTCTCGCCATGCTCTTGCTCGTCGAAAGCGGCGCCGTCTCTGTCTACGACAAGGTCTGTAAATTCTGGCCTGAGTTTGCCGCCAACGGGAAGGAAAACATCGAGATCCGCCATCTGCTGTCGCATACCTCTGGCGTCCCCGGATGGGACGACAAGGTCACCATAGAAGAGGTTTGCGACCCTGTCACGTCCTCGGCCAAATTGGCCTCGCAAGCCCCATGGTTGGAGCCTGGTACGGCGTCGGCGTACCACTACTGGAACTTCGGTCACATGCTGGGAGAGGTCATACGTAATGTGACGGGATTGAGTTTGAAACAGTTCATTGCCCAGAAGATCGCCGCGCCCTTGGGTGCCGACTTTCAACTCGGTGTCGTTGAGAAAGACCTTCCCCGAGTTGCTCATCTCGCCTTTTCAGCTTCGCCGGATCCCATTCCAGACTCCAAGTCGGTGCCTTTCTTCATGAAGGTGGTCAGGAACCCTGAGATAAACCTTGACGTTGCGATGAATCCTGCATGGCAACAAGGGGAGATTGGTGCATCCAACGGGTACAGTAACGCCCGGGCAATGAACAAGATCCTTTCCAACATCACGCTCGCAGGTTCCAAAGGTGTCGGGTTGCTGTCTAAGTCGACAGTCGACTTGATATTCAAGGAGCAATCCCAAGGCTTGGACCTCTCTATTGGCAAGCCCATTCGCTTCGGCATTGGTTATGCTTTGAGGGGCGATGGGGACTTGGTTAGCAAATGGATGCCTGCCGGCGATATCGCCTATTGGGGGGGAGCTGGTGGGTCGCTGGGTTTGATGGATGTTGGTCGCAAAGTTACCATCACTTATGCCATGAACAAGGGGGTTTTGACAGCAAATATTGGAAACGAAGCCGTTAAGGCCTACGTCGGTGCCATCTACGAGGCACTAGGTGTCAAGATTTAATGTATGCCGTCAGGAACAGGCCTGTACCCGACAGTCAACAGTCAACAACAGGACCTAGGTCGAATGTCGCATAGCGCTGGGGAATCTGGTCGACTGTTGAATATAGCGACTATTACCTATATTTACAAACTCAGCTAATTGCAGTACAATCCGTATAACGCACCTATCCAATGATAATCCGCGAAGCAGCTGTAATTCCAGAACGCTGAACACTCTTCAAGAATTCAGCACGTTCAATAGACCCAGCATTTAAAGAGGCGCGGTCCCATCTACACGTACGCCGGCCCCCTGAAAATACTCGTTCGGGCTCGTCAGAGAGTCCGGGAATAGACAGGATTTCAATTGCCATATAGGAGAGGCGAGGCCATTCCTGACCAGACCTGTACCCGACAGTCGACAATGTCGACTGTCGTCGACATTCGACAGTCAATAGCATAATCGACAGTCGACAGGGGTGAAGTGGTCGACAGTCGACATGTCGACTGTTGATTGTCGAATTGAATACATATGGTGTTCGGGCAAATATATTGTATTCTAATCAACATCTGCTGCTACACAAACGAGGCTGTTACACTTAAGGTGCTGTTGGAGTTGTCGTCGCTGCCGCTGCGATCGCAGCAGGAATAAGACCATCATCACCATCGGACAGAATTCCAGAACGGTGTACACTTTTCAAAAACTCTGCACGTTCAATTGAGGCCGCACTCAGTGATGCCCTGTCCCATCTAATACTACCTAACGAACATAAAGTCATCGGGATTTCTACCTACCACATACCTAACTGGATTAGTACTTTTGTCTTGGCATTTTTACCGCTTTTGGATTCGACAACCGACAGTCGACATCACAGTCGACAGTCGACATGAGATTCCTGTCGACAGTCGACAGTCGACACCTCCCTCCATGTCGAATGTCGACTGTCGGGTACAGGTCTGTTCCTGACGGCGGTCACTCTGTAACCACCAGCCCAGTGCTGTCGTTCCTTCTGGTAGTCTTGTGGGAGGTGACATATTACATCACTGTGATGCTATAATCGATAATCGACAGCCTCACTATCGACCACTCCTACTGTCGACTGTTGCCGACATTCAACAGTCGACAGCTTAATCAACAGTCGATATTGTCGACTGTCGGGTACAGGCCTGACTCAGGAAGACAAGTTGGCCAGGGTGACCGAATTACATTCCTGGTTAAATTAGGATGAGATGGCGTTCATGTAAACCATGAATATCGTCCGGTTTCTGCAACAATCGCGTTTATGTACTTCGTACGCTTATTATTTGATTTGATTTGATTTATCTGAATAGCACATTGTGAACACGGTTCCGTGTGGTCCAGAGAGTAATAGCCGACTCCAAACGAAAGACGCTGAAAACCCGCATCCGACCCATCGTAGAAATCATTCACGCAACCTAATTATGCCATCAATCTGCCTTCTCCCATGGATTTATCGAATCTGAATCAACCGGATCACGTCGTGTAGGTACCGCCAGTGATTTGTGGCGCAATGACCCTAGTACTTCATCAAAATTGCCCGTTTGTCATTAGTGAGATGTCCGGGTAACTGGGCATACAGAATAGTATTGACCGTAATCTCTTATATATGCTCTTCTTAGGGCATCAACGGGATGGTAGCCCCCCAACACGCAGTTTGGCAAACTCCAAATGCTGTATTACATGCAACAATGGTGGCCGGTACCGTTGCGCCCAGAACCGCACCCCAGGTGAAGCCTGCTGCACTATAGCAGGCCGTCACGACGGCTGCACAGCCTGCTTGACAGACGCCATAGGCCGCGATGCCAGCGCTCGCAACGGGAACGAGGGCGAGCGTCGCGGTAGCGAGAGTAAAAGTAGGCTTCATGTCGGTCGTATATGATCAAGATCACTTGTCCGATGATCTTTACTTAGTGAGCTGGAGTTCAAAGGCTGGGTGTGGGTGCTGATTGTGGGTGCTGATTGTGGGAACCGTGTGAAAGCTTAGGTTCGTTACGACGGATGGGCGGCGTTGGTTAAGCCCGAAGGCTCTACTTATACATGTAAAACCAGAGGTGTTTGCGTGTTGCAGGCATGGATATTGTTTGCCTGTCTTTGTGATCGCCTACCTATATCCTCTAAATGCAATGCATCAGGCAAAGGGAGGCGGCATTTGGTGCACTAAGACCTGCATTAAGATCCCGTTGGTAGGTAGTCAATGACGATAGAGTCCCAGCCACGGTTACGCTTACCATTCATATTAGGCACCAGTTGCGGGCGTGATTCTCTGAGTCGTTCGAACATTGCTTTCTTGCCTTGTAGTGATGTTTTCGAAGACCGTATGATCGAGTAACCATGATGGCTC